GGGTGGGTGGGTTTGGAGAAGATGAAAGTAGGGGTGGCCGGGTGGATGATTTTTTTTTCTTTTTTAATTATATAATACATATATTAGTGGGACCAATTTTTTAATAAAAAAGAAAGACGCGCTTAACTATTTTCGTTATGCCACGTCAGCATTAAGGGGGGTATTTATTCACTTTAAATGAGATTAGGGGGGTACATAAACACCCGTGTAGTTGAAGTATTAAAGTAAGTTTTCGTGCCAAGTTCAGGGGGGTTTTATGTATTTTCCCTTTTTTATGCATTGTTTGGTTTGGCGTATTAAAAATAACATGCATTGCATAATTTCTAAAAGTATATTTATTTTACAAAAAAACCCTCCATAAATAGTGGAAAAGATGTAGAAAAAGTTTTGAGGGGCAATTGTGTCTTTAACTATGCCAACGCATGTATTAAAAACCTTGCATCACTAATACCATTGACTTCCATGTATTAGTAATACACACTTCTATACATAATAGAGTGTATAACTAATGCTAATACAAGCATTAGTTATACATAGGTTAAAAAAGTGTATCAAACAAGGTACTACTAATACAAAAAGCTAATGCATGTGTGTGTGTATATATATATATATATATATATATATAAAGCGAAACAAAGAACAAAATGGAATGCTAAAAATATCCACTTCAAATCTCTCTTTATACCACTAAAATGTAATATAAAAATCTTGTTGTGGGACTCGAGAGAGTTAGAACAAATGAACACGAAACAAACCTGTTCTCAACAGTTCCTTTAAAGAATTTATCAACATCGTCAACACTACGAGCAATGATCGACCAACATGGCTCCCCTATTAAACAGTCAACAAATAAGTAAAAGAGAACTCAACTAAAGCAAAGAATATCCATGCAACTCACAATTGCAATTGGTTAGAAGTAACTGTGAGAAATATAGGAGAATGTATTATTTAATTATACATCTATATTATTACATTGAGCCTATTATAGACACAACATTCTAATCTTTTCCCATGTAAGATACTATATACAAATCCTATTCATATTCTAACATTCCCCTTCATGTTGGTGCATACAAGTCATATGTATTGAGCTTGTTATAAATGTAACTAATACGAGAACCAGTAAGGGACTTGGTGAAAATATCTGCAAGATGATCATTTGACCTCATGAATTTTGTAACAATATCTCTAGAGAGTATCTTTTCTCTGACAAAGTGAGTGTCAATCTTAATGTGCTTCGTCCTCCCGTGAAATACATAATTTGATGAAATATGATGGGGCCCTTGATTATCACACACAAGTTTCATCTAACTAATTTCTCCATATTTTAGTTCTTTGAGCAACTATTTAATCCAAGCTAGCTTACAAGTTGCTACAGCCATTGCTCGATGTTCTGCTTATACACAAGATAGAGCAACCACACTTTGTTTCTTACTCTTCCAAGACACCAAATTACCTCCAACTAACACACAATATCTAATGTAGAACGTCTACCGGAAGGTGATCCTGCCCAATCAACATATTTATATCGAACAATTTGCTCATAGCTCCGATCCTTGAAGAGTAGTCCTTTATTTGGAGCTGACTTTGTATATTAGCAACTGCTGACAATTGCATCCCAATGACAATCCATAAATTGACTTACAACACCCATAGGAAAAGAAATATCACGTTCTGGCACTATGAGATAATTCAACATACCAATCAACTGACTACATCATCCTAGATCACTAGGTGGCTTGCCCTGTTGTGGCTGGAGTTTAGCATTCGGATCCATAGAAGTGTAAATGGGTCTACATCTCATCATTCATGTCCCCTTAAGAATGTCTAAGGCATACTTGCGTAAAGAATGGATCTTGGGCCTAACTCAATCCTAAGAGCTAGTTCAAGAAGAGTGGATCGTCCAAGTTCATACAAGGATACCACACATATGAAGTCAATTTTTTTACCCTAAAAAAAAGAATTGATAAAAAAAATGAATTTTATTAGTTTTTAAGGACAAATATGAGCTAGTTCACTCATGATAAGCGCAATTTGGGACCAAATTCATACGAAGGGAAAATTTGTTCTACTTTCCATAGTTCTTTTTTTTAGAATATTATTTTTTCTATTTTCCATAGTTGAGGTGCAAATCTGAAGCAATCCACCAATGATAAGACTATGTTTTGGACCACATCAAAATAAGGGCAATTTCGCTAGTTGAGGGGAATTTTTGGCCCTTTTCCCTTCTTAAAATTCAAAAACTACTTTTGGTGAAAAGCAAGCTGAAAGTGCTAGAATACAGAGGAGATTCTATGGATGGAAAGAAGCCTTTCTTTACAGAAAAAAAGCACTAAGCACTTCTGCTTGGAGAAGCTTGGTCAAATAGGCTATTAATATGGAATTGGACTAGCACAAGAACCTTTCCAGAAAAATCAGCCTACAATTTATGCTAGGGAGAACTCAGAAAGGCAGGAAATGGCCCTCGAGAAAAATCTGGAAGGTAAATGCATCAGCTAAGGTACTATTCTTTGATACATGAAAATCTAAGAAGAGGGGTTATGAACTCAGCTCTAGATGATTTATGTGTGCAAACGTTGAGGACAACTCCCTTCAGTTTCTACACTGCATTTTTACCAATGTTTTGGACGGTGAAAGGCGACAAGGATCTGCCTCGCGGCTAAGCGCTTGCCTTTTTGAGGTGAGGTGCCAATTAATACCAAAAACTTAAAATATTTAATTGTGTACAAATAACCAAACTCTCAATAGCAATAACATATTAGCAAAGATTTCAATTCAAAAACTAAAAGTAGATAATAGAAACTAAAAGTCTAGAGTGACTCAATAATTCATAAGACAAGCAATACCAAAACAGAAGAACGAGAAAGAAGAAACCGGGCAGATTGCAGATTGAGAAATAACGAAAAAACAGAACCAAAAAACTGTCTTACTGGTTAATGAGAAAGAAGAAAGGCAGCCGCTAAAGTCAAAACAGAGGATAAAGAAGAAGAACGAAAAGAAAGGAGCAGAAGGCGAACATGATGTCGTCTGAGCCCTGAAGTCCGACATAGAGAATCGACTTTGAAGTTTGAGGTCCGTAAGTCACAAATAAACCCTAATTTTACGTTTAAGTTTTAACCTGTTGAGTCACAGTTTTCAACCTTGCCTCGCCTAAGCTAGTAATAGGCGACCTGGCCCTGCCGCTCTAGTAATAGGCGACCTTGCCTCGCCTCGCTAGTACTGGGTAACCCTGCCTCACCTCGCACCAAAGGTGCTAAGGGCATCTCCAACCCTACACTCTATTTTACTCGCCAAATATAGAGTTCTCTATTTATTCAGACAACCAACTCCAACCCAATTCTCTATTTTTCTCTCTAAAAAGGAATCTTTTTCTCTCTCCTAAATATTATATTATTATTTCTATTTCATTCTTATTTTCTTATTTCATAATATAAATCCTTTATTCTTTTTTCCCAATAATTACTTTATATAATTTTCATGTGATATAAATTTTATTTTTTTCAATTTTTTTTATTTAATATAAAATTATATTTTATTCTAATTTTTAAATAATATAAATTGCAAGATAATATTATATAATATACAAATTAATGGACAAATTCAAATAAAAGTGAAATACAATTACATAAGCATTACATAAACACTCAATTTTCGAAATTATTACGTTGCTCCCATAAATTCTCTATTAATGCATTACGGAGTTCAAAATGAACATTTTTGTCATTAATTTTTTATGTCTAGCTAAAAATTGTTCAAACCGGAGATTTTCATACTACCATTTCTGTCGTTGGAGCCTCTATAGCATTTTGAATTGGTGCATTAAGATCACGTTCATCCTCAATTATCATGTTGTGCAGCATAATACATGTAATCATTATATCATGTAGTACTTTCTTTCTCCAAAAACGTGACGGTCCTGCAATAATTGCAAAACATGATTGCAAAACTCCGAATGCACGTTCAACATCTTTTCAGCATGATTCTTGATTCATCGCAAATTAATTATTATGTTATGTATTGTATTTTATCTTGTATTTAAATTATTATGTTATGTATTGTATTGTTATCTTGTATTTAAATTATCATATTATGTATTGTATTTTTAAATTAAAATTTTCATCTTATCATTTTAATTTTGTGTATTCTTTATAGTGAAAATTAATAATAAAATTATATTATATTATTGACGAAAATTAGAAAAAATTAAACTACTATTAATTCGAGATGAAAGTAGTATATATTAAATAATATATTTTTTAAAATATTATATTACTTAAAAAGAATTATGAATATTAGATATTTAATTAATGACATTATATGTAAAATAATATGTTAATTAGAAAGTAATAGAAATAATAATAAAATATTTAAAAAGTGAAATAGAGAGTGTGAATAGAAGTTCTCCAAATTTGGAGAATTAATATTCACCTCTCTAAATATGAAGAATAGAGAGTGATATGGAGGTGGATTGCAGTGCCCATTCTCTATTTTACTCTCCAAATATAGAGAATGGAGAGTAAAATAGAGGTGGGTTGGAGATGGTCTAAGGCAAGCGCCTTTCACAACACTAGTTGTTAGAATACAGTTATGGTATTTGTTTTTTAGTATGAATGACTGGACTATGCCAAAGCTAACAAATGACCGCTTGAGATATTGAGTGTGGTGTAACTGGTCCGCGTGGTCGTGTCAGGCAGAAGAAATGTAATGACCCTCCAGGTCATTTCCTCCAAAGCGTTTAGAACTTTTTTGTAGCGACCCCAAGTCATTTATGACTTGTTAGGACTGACAGTTCAGTCGCGGGTCGTTCATTTGAATTTTGTGCAAGTTTCCGTGTTTTGGAGCCTTTGAAACTTGAACAGTTGACTTCGATCAAAAGTTCAAGAAGACGGCCTCAGAATGCAATTATGACTGTTCCATCAACTCTGGAAGGGCTATTTTAGACTAATGGCATGGTTGGTTCAGGCTCCGAGACTTCTGATGCGAGTTTGTGTCGTTAGGCGTTTTAACTTTGAAGCTTAAGCCAAAGTTTGATTTCGGTCAACATTCTTGGTAAACGTGCTCAAATGAGAATTTTATCAGCGCGGTTAGCTCCAGAATGTTGAGTTCGGTGTAAAATGACCTTTCGTGCAATTCTCAAGATTTCCAATTTCATTTCGAACCTTCTTGTGGATTTTAGCTTAAAATGGAACTTGAGAGTGGGACCCACTTTTAATCGAGATGACCTCGAATGGATGTTTTGATGACTCTTGAATCCGGAATGTCATTTACAATCAGATTTCATATATAATTTGTGTTAACGGGACTCGGGATGAGACCGGAGCATCAAAACCAAAGTTTAGCCTGAGCTGGTGTTGGTGCGATAGCTTCAGCAACCCCTTGATCGCTTTCGCAGTGGTCGCTTTCGCGGCAGGAGCCTCTTGGGCTTAGTCGCCTTCGCGACCTAAGCGTCGCTTTCGCTGCAAAAGCCTCTTGGGCTTTGTCACTTTCGTAGTGCTCGCTTTCGCGACCTAGGCATCGCTTTCATGGTGTTCACTTTTGCGACCTAGGCATCGCTTTCACGGTCAGCACTGATGTTATAACTCTTATATCAACTCGATTTTCAGCATCTCTCCCTATATTCAAACTTTGATATCTTGAGATAGAAAGCTCCGTTTTGGGTGATTTCAAGTGTTGTGTGTTCGTGTTGATTGTGGCTACGCATTGGAGTGCTCAAGGAAGTGTGAAGGTCACTGGTTTTAGGTAATTCTAACCCCGAAAGGGCTGCCATGTCTCTTTAATTGGAGAATTTGTGCATGTTGTCGTTTGGGCTGTTCCGGGCATCAAATTGTGTCCCATTTTGGGACACAAGCTGGATAAGTCATTTCGGACCTTTTGACGGAGTCAATTTCGAAATTCCTGGCATGGGTCCCACATTCCCGTTTAACTCGATCTTTGGTCTATTTCCAATTATTGCGAATTTGATGTCTAAACGTCCATAATGACATTGTGATCAATAATTTGATAGTGTGGCGGTGTTCGGAAGCGGTTAGCTCTTGTGTGGTGGTTTTGGAGCACACGTGATCGGCTTTGAGATAGGCTTCGATCTATTTTCTTGATTGGACTTTTTAGATAATGCTTAGTGTAAATTACATGTGATTTGGATTGTATTTGTCGGGTATTAGTTTCCCTCCTTTCCATTCTATCTTTTCTTGATATCGGTAGGAGCTTGGGCTTGTTGTGGGTGTTGGATCCTTAATTTAGGTGTGTAGCCTCACTTATGGTATAGATTATCATGTTTATCCTTGTTAAGTTTGGTACTTGTGGCCTTAGACTAGGATTGAACCTTGGATGCCTTAGAATGCTTTTATTTCCCTTGTAGTTGTTAGTTACTCCCTATATGGCTTGTATTGGGTTGTTCATCTAGTGTTGGTGCTTGAGACCTGGGTGGGGCTCGTCTTAGCCGTAAGTTGGCACTAGATGTGTTCAGTCATAGACTGAAGTGGTATGATTGGGTAGGGCGTCGTCCCTTGAGCTTGCTCCCCCTTATTTATTCGAAAGCTTTCCTTGATTCCTTCACTTGGTGAATTACGGTAGGCTTGTTTGAGTTACTGAGTTATGATTATATTGTTGGACCCGAGGCAGTGTTCGAGGACCAGTAGAATCCCAGGTTAGTACTCTCATCCTTGGCAGCATGGTATGGTTAGTCTTATATTTATTTGATGGTGAGTGCCATGTTTGAATATTGGTGATGGCATGCATTGCATTGGTTGTTCATTCTCACGTGTTTTGTGGTACCATCCCGGCTCATGCATTGGCTCATCTCATCATTCATGGAGAAATATTTCACACTGCGTTTATTCCGAACTGATTTTAACTGCCACCTGTATCACTAGATTTATTGATTTTGAGACTTACAAGGCGTCATTGATGTGCTCATTTCCTGGCATTAGAGGCATCTAGGATGTGCTCAGTATTTACTTGACTAGCCACCGCATCGACGCTCTTTTTTGCATGATTTTGGCAACTCATGATCCTCTACGGAGTGATTCCTACTATTCGCATATTAAAGGTATGGTCTTATTCTCTACGGAGTCGACTTACTGTAAGACCTGGATTCAGGCCCAAGCAGAGTATACGAACTTCCCGCATCCCCTATGAGCCCCTCTGGCCGTGAGTCCCATAGTACCGGATGAGGGAGTTGCATGAGTCCTACCTCACCCGCACGGCATGGAGGTACACTTGGTGGTTACTGACGGTTCTAATGCATACTCTGCATTCATATGCATTGCCTATCACCAGTATACTTGTATGTTGATTGTAACCTCCAATTTATGGGGACGATTGGGTTATATTTGTTGTTTGTACCTCTTGGGCCTATGGGGTCCGGTGAGGTTATTGTTTGACTACATCCTATTCTTTGTTGTTATTTATCTGCTAGCTGATAGGTTCTGGTTTTAGAATTGTGGTTGTTAGTCCTCCTGACCCTGGACAGTTGACTTTGTATCTTAGTTGCTTGTGATTAGCCTGTTGGCTTGTGGTCTGGGTACTTTTTTTACTCGGTTCGTTATTTCTTGCGTCCTTTTTCTGTTCCTTATTGCTTGTACATCATATTATCTCCTGTTTAGTTATATGTGCTATGCTTTCCTTACTACCTGTTGCTTATACTTGTGTTATCTTTGAGCTCAGTCGGCCGATGCCTACTGAGTACTGCTTTTGGTACTCATAGTACACTTCTGCTCCCTGCAAATTATAGTTTAGGTTCTCACCGTTGATTTGGAGTCATGCGGAGCAACTTGGAGCTTGGAGACTAGGGTGAGCTCCCGGTTTCCATCTGTTTTGGCTAGGCTTAGTCTTTATATTGTATTTAGAGGCAGCCTGTACTCATTTTGTATTTGTAAAAGCTTTATACTCTAATTTTGATTAGACGCTCGATTACTAACCGATGTCAGGTCTTGGGATGGTTCCTTGTGTTATATTTCTGATTATTGCCCTTTTTCTTCGCTTTGTTATAAGCTTTATGCTTCTTGTTATTGGCTTCCGCTTGGTAGCCCGTTGCTTATGGCTCTGGGCTAAGGGTTAGGCTTACCTACTAGTGGGGTGTAGTAGGTGTCATCATGATCTAAGAAATTGGGTTGTGACAAGAAACGATGGAGAAATTCCATTTAGGAAAGAAAATTTAGATGTTCTGAGGTAGTTACCTCGAGAAATGTGCCAAAGCATTTTGACTATCTTACACCCTTGTTTTTTTCTTCTCCTCCTAGTTTTCCACTTTCACTTTGTTTAGTGATCTTATTTCAAGTTACATTCTTTATTTCAAGAGTTATTGTCCTTGTTCTAAGGTTATTTCTTTTCTTTCAATTGATTTTTGATTTTTTTAGTTATATTTATTCTATTGTACTATGTTTTTAATGTTTAGTTGCTATTTTGTTGTGTTCATAGGAAGAATGGAAGACTAATCCCATCTTGGAGAATGACAGATTGAATTCTACAATACACATGTAAGTTTATCACAAAATATCTCTCAAATTTAAATTATCTTATAACTCTATTTTTATAATGTTGGACTTCTTTAGTTGAATTCCCGCACCTGTATCCATATACGGATTCATACCCCTGAATCTTAAAATTTAGATTTTGCCAAATCCGACTCTCGGATCCGCACCCGAGTCTGACCAACTTAGTATAACAGGGCACACAGCATGAGACTATGGTGGTCACTACACATGTTCCCCAGGTGGGATGTGGACAAATGAAAATGGTTTGATTCATGGCACAAACATCTTATTTAAGCAAACATGGACAACCATATATACATTCTGATATCACCACAAACTTCAAGGGATTAAAAGACCATTATTGCTGAATAGAATTTGAAGCATGACAAAAATATAACTTACAACCTGTGGAATCAAAAGGCATCCATACCAGAAAGACGATGAGCATTCAGACCACCATTAGGGACCAAAATTTCTAAACGGCCTTTTATGGGCTTCACAACTTTCTGGAGAATCTCTTGACGTTCCTTTAAGCTCCGATGAATAACACTGGTATCCCCAACATAAAGAATATCGAACGCAACATCTATTGACATGCAATGTTAAGGGAGAGGAGCCAACCAACATTATGGAGATTCAAGGACAAGCATCGCTGACATTAACACACTCATTTCCTGCTGAGCTGCCAAACTTGGAAAACATTGTAGAAACAAAAAGGATACAACACAACTGCAACACAACCAAAATATATCTCATTATGCCGATCTTTTACAGAAATGACACGATAAAATGGTAATGTTCTAAAGACGAACCTGCCTATCACTATCAAGACCCTCTCTTGCTGCCTTTGCTATTATATAAGTAAGAAATTCACAATGAGAAGTCAGGCAATTTAGAAACAAAAATAGGTTTATAATAGATTAATGGATCTTCAGCATACATTGAAAATGCATCAAAAACTAGCAGACAACACAGATTTTGTGGGAAAAAATGTCAATCAAGGATCATAAGCACCTATTTCTTGATTGGAACCAAACTCTGCAAAGCGGTTTATTGATGCATCCCAAACCAACATTTCACCATCGAGTATGCACCTGATCAAAAAAAAGAGGTACGGAAAAAGTCAGTCACAGCGGAAAAGATAAGTACCCCTCATTACAAGGCTACATGCAATAGAAATAGATATCCAAGATCTGCACAGTTCAGAAAATAACAAAGTATATTTCATTTTCCAGAAAATAACTAGTTGTCAGAGGTACTTGATGCCATCAATTAAAGATAAACCAAAAACATCACTTCATGTCACACCAGTTCTGGGGATGTACCAGCATCAAAAAGCTGAAAAGAAGGATGCTATCACAAGATAGAGGATCACACAGCACATCCCTGTTGGGGGTTCTTCATAAAACAGGCTAATTCTTGTTCTCTTCTTTAAACTGAACTTATGCTACATAATCAGTCTGGGTCATTTCCGCATAATATCTCTTCCAGCAACCTTGCATCTTATTGCCCACTGACCACTCCCCCACTAACCATTTCTAAGAAAAATGGGATAGCAATATGAGAGGCAAGTCGTGATCATAAAACCCAGACCCACGACATCATCACATAAAAACTGAAACTGAATTCAGACACAGTAAAACAAAGTACCCTACTAGAATCTTGGGTACAGTGACCGACAGGCATGTGTATTGATTGTGTACGTGCACACATTTTTGCCCTTCCTTTAATGAAATTAATTAGTTATATCAAAAAAGTAATCAACAGGCATTTGGTGGATTTGGTAGCAAATCTAGACATGAAATAAAAATAAACAAATCATAGGGTGATGTTAACAAATTAGGGGGGGGGAGGGAAACAAAAATGGAAGCATAAGGATTAATATTTCTTTTTCCTTTTTTACAATGGCTACAGAATTATACGTTTGCTTACTTGTCAGCAAGGATATTCTGAGTAATAACATCTGACATCCCATGAGCATACTCTTGATGATCCAGAAAGTTTCTGCAAGCACATTTGAGTAAATAAAGCAATTAGAAGTACTATAAACCTATAACAATTCGTTATGAGAACCACAGTATTAGAATCATGCGTATTTGGCAAGTACTAAAATCAAATCAAAAAATTTCAGTAGGACACGAGGAAAAGTGCATTTACTCTTTTCAGATAAATTGAGTAAACCCATAAAGAAGGATTAAATCACACCAAGGAAAAATTATGAAAATGGTACCTTGAAAAGAAGTTTAGCTCAGAATTATTTTTGTGAATCTGGATGCGATCCCCATCAAATTTACACTCAACAACTACTTCTTTCCCGTAAAGCTGTTCACGATATAATCAATTTAACATGAGATAAAGTTAATCAATAGAAAAGCTACCATCTTTAAAAAGACTCAGTTGGGAGGGGGGGGGACAAGGAGATAAAATAGCAAATCTCATAAAACCTTTTTCCATGCAGCAGATGCATTGCTGACCCTAAGAGCCAGCTGAGGGCGGACAGGTTTTCCAACTTCAATGTCCTGCAGAAAACAACACAGTTGCAACTACCCTGCTGGAGATAAATAGGATTATAAAACAAGAGAAAGGAGAGAACTTAAATGATATCATTGACACCCCACCTCAAAATCAAGGATCATATTAAATGTACTGAGTTTTCCACGAGCTGTGGGACAGGTTCCTTTCACAAAAAGATTTAGTCGACGCTGCTACTTGATATTAAATATGTTTGTGTACACTACTGTCACATTTAAACTCTGGTTATGTAAAATTCGCATGTGCAGTCTCAACTTCAATATAGGATGGTTGCATTAAGTTGATGGTAACATAAAAAATAAATATTCCCATTATTTTGAGGTTGAAGAATAGTTAGGGCCTGGGGGTTGATGTATTCTAGTCATAGTTTATCAATGATACTAATGTTACAATCATTTGTGTCACTTTATTGACAGCAGTACTATACTAATTCTCAACTTTGGCACTCTTTTACTTCCTACTCTAGTCTCTACATCTCTTTCCTGCAGATGATACTAATTCTCTACTTTGGAACTCCTTTATAGCCTTCTCTACATCATTTTCCTGTTCTGCCTTGTCCTGGGTTATGAACATTCCTGTATTATATTATATTATATCTATAAAGAAAATGGGCCTTGCCATAATTCAACCTCATTAACCCACAAGGTGAGGATTGTCCAAGAACATGTAAGGGATAACACCCCATCATTCCCTTGATCAATGTGGACATTCCAACACTCCATGTATAATTTTTATAGAACTTCAAAATATCCATCTAATTTCTTCATCCACCATTAGCATATTTGTAAGATCAGATACTGTTGACTGTACTAATTAATTAGCTTCATGTTAGGAGACATTGGGAGAATAGGATATTTTCCTTTTAATATAATTGATGTCTTTCTTTAATTAGTTATAGGATTCATGGTATAAATACCTCATCCCATGGAATATAAATGGTTATCAAAATGAAAAAAAAAAAAAACATATACTCAAATAGAAAGGAGCATTTTCTTCCTTCTCAATTCCCATGGTATCAGAGACATTGGTGGCTTTTTTAGATGAGTTTCCTCCCTCTGCAATACTAAGGGTACATAGATTGAATCTTCTCTATGTTTCTTAGTTTCTCTTCCCAAAAAAGTCACTGCTGGAAGCAACTTTACCGCTAGGGATGGCAATGGGGCGGGTTAAGGCTATGTGGGGCAGGTTGGGTTTAAGGTTGTGCGGGGGGGGGTTGAAGTGGGCTTTTTTAAAACTAATGCGGGGCTAGGCGGGGCGCGGGTAATGTGATTTTGTGTGGGTTTAAACTTAATTTTAATTTTTACATGTTATAAGAGTGATAAAGCACTATTTATTAAGATAATTTTTTTAAAGCTACTAAAATATTGAAGATAGAAAATGAAAATGGTTCAATAAAATATAATTTAATTTCTTACATGTTTCCCAATTGACCTCTAAAGAATAAAATTTTAAGTCACTATCCTATTAAATTAATACAACTTAATGAAAAAATGAATTTCTTATTATGAATTTTATTTTTAGTATCAAACTTAACTAGAAAAAGAAAATATTAAAAAAAATTATGCGGGGCGGGTCCTATATACCACCTTCAGCCAGTCCTATACACAAACGGGTACTACTGGGAGGCAACTCTCTATTATGCGACCCACCCTAGAAACCCCACTGTCGCTAAGTGTCTCATATGCATTCACACACCACCAGAAGAGCCTGACTTCCTATGTCATACGTCACATGCTGGCACATGTGGCACTCTTTAATGTTTAACAAGAAGAGAGTCAACAAGGGGTCATGCTTTACTCAGCTATAACGGAGAAGTCTAGGTTAACCAATGTTATCAAAGGCGCGCATAAGCCCTGAAGCGAGGCTCTAAACGTGTATAGCATCTCGCTTCGCTTTGTGTGCTTTAGTGTCGTCATCACGGTTTTAAAGCATACTTTTCACTCTATCATATATTTTTTTTCAATTTCTTTATTCATATGTTTGCCATTCATGCTTATAATTATTAGCCTTGAACTAAACATATATATGTATATATATATATATATTTCTTTTCTCCCTTTGCGCCTTTTTTCATTCAAATTCATGCCTTTAAATCTCCAATGAATCTTAGAGCTATTTTGTGCTTTTTGCTTTTGATAACACTGATTTAACAATATATCATGAGCAACCAAGGGCAAACACTTCCTATAAAGATCACTTGCACTATGATATTATGGAAAACCTAGGCATACAAAGCGACGCGTTGAAAGCTACATGGTGAACCAAGTAGAGGACGTTGGAGAAAACAAGTACGTCCACCAAGGGGTCTGGCTAATATTGAAGAAAATGTTGAGACATCCAAGGATATTGCTTCAGGAGGAACTGTCTTAGCAAGAAATTCAGCCATCTTCATCAACTCACAGGAAATCAGATCTTCCACCAAACATCCTTTATCTAACTTTATCTCTTATAATTCCTTGTCTCCCTTCTATAGAGTCTTTATCTTGTCTATATCTTCTCTTACAATTCTGCAAATTTGAAGGAAAGTTTATTGCACCTCCTAGATGACACAAGCTATTTTTGAATAAAGAAATGAACGAATTGTCAAAAAATGAGACTTGTGAACTGGTCACAACATTGCTAGAAAAGAAATTGGCTGGCTACAAATTGGTCTTCACCATGATACACAAAGTTGATGGCTCAATTAGAAGGTTCATAGCAAGTTAGAATTCTTTTATCTTGTACAGCTAATCTTGATTTGGACTTGCAACAGTTTGATGTGAAGAATGAATTCCTTCAAGATACAACTGCTAATCTTTGTTAATTTGTAAACATGAACTAAGGTAAAACTTAAAAGATATAAAGATCACCTACTTCAGAAATTCAGAGGCCTTCAACCAAGTGTCAAGTTGCTGATGGTGAAATCTAAATCTTAATATGCACACAGGAAAATCAATTAATCACTGTTTCAGACATAGCCTCCAACACTTCACGTAACCTGTCATCTTATCCTTTCTTCCCAAAATGCCTAATCACATATCTGTGACTTTCTAAATCAAGTTTTGATAAAAGAGTAGGCTGACCGACACCGACCAGTGAAGGAAACGAGAGACAAACTTAGGACAGCTGACCATCAACATAAGCACTCTAATTTAGGAAATAAAGCATTTGCTCATCTCTTGGACAAGAAGTTACTATAGGATTTGTCGTCAAGAGCAAGCAATGAACAAATATCTACCAAATTATAGGCCTTGATGTACACTTAGTCACCAAGGTTAAAAAGATGAGATTTTAAAAGTTATTAAAAATCAACTAGAGGAAGATCCAATATCTACTAAAAGTACCAAGTCATGATAAGAAGTATGTCATATGGTTAAATATGAGAACTCAAAGCAAACCTGGCGTTTATGCCGTTGACTTCTGTCCCTCAACTTTTCACAAACTAATTTTAAATCGCATGTGACATTGAATAAGTCCTCTGCATCTGGATGGAATTCATGGAAGATGCTCTTTTCACTAATTCCCAACTTAAGATCTAAATTATGAAGACAAAAATCAGTGGTACATTGACATCATTGGGAATGAAGGGAGATCCTAGAGTTTAAGCATTGACAAAAAGATATATCAAACCTTTGAGAATTATCATTATAATCCATTTCATTTCTTGAGCATTTGTTTTCCTGATTAGATCAGACAGAATTGAAGTCTTCTCTGCTCTGATAAAACAATAAAATATATCTTAGTGAAGCGTAAGGATAATAAGCTAAGTAAATACTGGAGCAACAAAGCATCTGATCAAGTTCTTTCTAAAATAATGGTCTCTCAAAGAGGGAACTGAAATCTACAGCTGAAGATGCATTCCGCAAGCCTCCTGTAACAGGTCTAGGCTTTAAGTTAACAATGCAACAGATGACAGATCTAAGGTTTAACAATACAACAAGTCTATGTATGGATATGATATAGCACGATGTCAGAAGCTATGGCTTAGGTATCAGAAGAACTCATTAAAACAAAGAAGTTTAGATAGAATTTAACTAACCAGCTGGGTAACCAAAGAGTAAAATGATGGTCATGGAATTTCTTTCCATCTCTGTACAGCCTGATGAAAGTTTCACCTCTATCAGAGCAGTTGTGATGCAAAGAGTAGCACTAGTTCACAGTTTTTAAGTTCCTGGAACTTTATTACCTTGATAAACTCTGCTTCTTCCTCCTTTGTCCATAAAAGTATAGGATGCATCTATTATTTGGTAATCTGCACCCCTATGACTAACGTATTTTGATATAGAAAAGCAATTGTCTTGACCATTTTAGAAAATTGAATGATAGAGACAGTACTCAATTTCTGACTATCCATCTCCATCTCTATAATCAATTGCATTTCTCCTTCAGATCACAAGACCGAATTTCATGCTCTTCCATACAACAAGTTGGCCAATAGAGTTGACAAGTTCAGCCGGTTCTGCGAATTGGTCATTATTGAAAAAGAGTTTGACTGATGTACAGCAATGGTACAATTGGTCAATACGGATGAATTGAAGAGACAAGTCTCAAAGCATGGAAATTTTGCTTTTGTGGAGCTTGCCATGGACATCACAAATAAATGTAATGGAGGAAAAATATTAGGGGTCTGCTTGGAAAGCCACCTGGTAATTGAAATTGGTGTAATTACTACGATAGTAATTACCAGCTTAGTAATTACACAACCTAGAAATTACGTTGAAATGTTTGTTTGCCACAATGTAATTACAGTGTAATCACCAAAATACTGTTTGGTTGCACAAGTGTAATCATAAGATAATGTTAAATTTTAAAAGTAAAAGTTAATTATCTGAAATTAAAAATCTATATTAGACTAATAGGGGCTTTTATAAATGATATTAAATTAAATATTTAAGATTTATATTGTCTTTTAAAAATATATTAATCAACAAACATATGTTTTTAACTAATATTATAAAAAATAATTAATTTATATTTTTCAAATTGGTATATTTTAATTAAATTAATAATAAAAACTAAAAGTACAAGATTTCTATGAACATCATAAAATACTTGTTTGACAAAAACATGAATATTATAAATATAATGTCATAAATTATGAAAATATTTGACAAAAAGATAATTTATCAAGTATAACTAAAAAATAAATAATTTGCAATATGAAATATCAAGTCAATACTACTAAGCAAATGAAACTGAAAATATAACATAAGTTCTAAAATAAAAATAAAAAATTTAATATAATACGCTTATGTCGAATTTCAACATACTGTACATAAATATGATTTTTTTAAAAAAGGAAAACATAAATATATAACCTTATTCAACAAGGAATTCTACTTTACTTTAAAAACTAGAATTCTAACAAAATTATGCTATTGAAAAAAAATAAACATAAAATAAATAATATGAAAAATTGCATGGAATCACAAGAAGTAAAGGCTGAGAATGAAAAGAAAATGAAATATAAATAATATTTAAAATAAAAAAAATAAAAAATAAAAGAATTTAAAATGATAGAAATGAAAATAAATTACAACAAATAAATAAAAATAGAAATAAAAAGAAGAAATTAAAAGTAATCAGCTTGTAATTACACCATGTAACTGTCAGCAATTCACAGCCCCTTTCTGAGAATTGGAGAGTGTAACTACCCCTGTCAATTACACTCAATTACCTGTTGACCAAGTAATGGTCAACCAAACATGTCAGGTAGTGTAATTACACCAAATCCAATTACCAGAGTGACTTTCCAAACATGCCCTAAACGATTTAGAAACATGAAGGTTTGACAATTCAAAATGTCAAGGAAATACATAACCACCATAACTCAGAATATGTAAGAAATTAGCCTCACCAGAGAAAAGTTGTCTCTAGATACCTATGATCTCTTGGAATCAATGTGGAATTTTGTAAAAATGACACACAATGGAAACAAAAGATTTGTATACGTGACACCAACAAGGTTGTAGTGGGAT